GAGCAGGCGATGGGTGGTGGGAGGAGGGCGGGCGGAGCAGGCGATGGGTGGTGGGGGGAGGGCGGCTGGAACAGGCGATGGGTGGTGGTAAGAGGGGGCGGCTGGAGCAGGCGATGGGTGGTGGGGGGAGGGCGGCCGGAGCAGGCGATGGGTGGTGTTTGCATGTAGGATTCAGACACTTTGCCAGCTTGGACACCACAAGACTTCCATGAAGCAGACTGGGAAAAGGCCATTTTTCTGGATCCATGTCCCAGACCAAAAAAGTGGAAATGCGAAAGATGAGATCTCTGTACTGCAGTATAAAAAAAAACTTAATTTTAGGTTGACCAGAATCACAAAATCACTTTTTGTGGCAAAATGAGGGACAAATATAGAAAAGCTTTACTTTAGCATAGGTTACACAAATAAAGAAATTCTTTGTCTTTCAGTGCATCAGCACTAGATTGTTATTAGAATTCAGATGTTGAAATGGCTGTGCTCTAAATCCTGTCTGTTCAGAAGAAATGTTTAGCAAACTTAGATCGAAGAAGCATCTGGGGTGGTGCTGGGGGTGGTGGAGTATCCTTTAGGGGTGCTGGAGTATCCTTTAGGGGTGCTGGAGTATCCTGCCCTGACCTGCGGCTCTAATATCCCTTCAGCTGTATTCTGAAAATGTACGACTTTATTCTCAAGGTCTTGTATTTTTTTTTGCTCACTTTATGACTTTTTCTTGCAACTTTATGATAAAGTGCCATAATACTTACTAATATTACTATTAATACTAATATTATTAATTCTTACTACTTTTACTAATAATAAGTAATTATTATTTATTATCTCAAAGTATTCTATTCTTCTAGCATTACGACTTTATTCTCATAGCTTGATATAATTCTCAAAGTTTTATGTTTTTATTTTATTTTGCAGGACTTAGGTCTAGCTAATTATTAGTTATTTATTATTTATAACACTGTGCTACAGGGCTGAACGATATAATTGTTTTAAATCGCGATCTTGATTCATGCGATCTCATTCTGACACAGCATTGATGCTGCTGGTGAAATTTTTTAATTCAAACAATAGGGCTTTACTCAGCTCACAACAGGCACAGGGAAACCAAAAAGGACTGCAAGGGGTCAAAGTACAGGTCCTCTAGCACTGGGAGAATCACAGGATACAAAGGGGATAATGTCAATGACAGGACTGGGGAGCACAGGACTGGGAACCACATTTATACAGGACTCCTTAGAGCCACACAGGAGAGAACTATATGGGCAGGAAGGCAGGGCATGACAAATAACGAATTAAAAACTTGTTAGCCGGTTCTTTGAGACTTATTGTAAATCGTGAATAACAACGACATTCCTCATTCTCCACTATGGAAAAAATCAGATTGTCTAATGCAATCATCTGTATTATTTTTCAAAGTGTAAATATCAGCCAGCAAGACTGACAAGACTGACACATCAAACTGATACTGATATATGGATTTTTAACAAATACTGGTTGATACGAATCTGTTAACTGATATATCATGCATATATTACTAATAATATTTTTAATAATAATAATTTCTCATCTTTATCGTTTGTATGTGAGTGTTAAGAAGCTTTTGAATGTTTTGCCCATTTTTTCCATAATCCCTGGTTTTTCAGGGACACAACTATTGCATTATAGAATATTCTGTACTGGTAGTTTTGCATGCGTGTTACATCCAGTGACTGTTGAATAACATTTTTCCATTCATCCAACTTCTAATCACTTATCCTGGCCAAGACACACATTTTCAGACAAATTTATGACTACAGTGCCTGACCAAAGTCTTGTCGCTTAACCAAGTTGTAGGAACAACAAATAATAACTTGACCTGTAGTTAATCAGTTGGAATCAGAAATGGCTTATAAGAAAAGGC